GAGAGAGAGAGAGAGAGAGAGAGAGAGAGAGAGAGAGGTTGGCCAAGAATATGAGGGAGAAACTTCGACATCCTAAAATCCCATGGGAGTAAAAGAGAGAGGCTTCAGCCATCTCAACAACTGGAGAGTAAGACACAGAGACTTAGGCCAACTCAATAGAGTAAAAGAGAGAGAATTTGGTCATCTCAACAATTCAATAGAGTAAATTTTTACTAGTGAAATTTGGAATTCTAGAAAGTGTGTTGGGAGTTACCAAAACTTTCGAAATTCAAATCTTGAATTTCAAATTTTGAATATAGGTGTATGTGTGTTTGTGGGCATGCTCATGTGTGCCCATGCAAGAGATAGAGAGAGAGGGGTGTGGGTGTGCGTGTGTGTGGCGGGGGAGGGGGCTGGGGCGTGCATGTGTGTTTGCTCTATGTGTATCTTTGAGAGAGAAAGAGAGAGAGATCTAGTGGGACATTTTGAAACTACTAGCTTGAATTTGTTTACCCCGACATAGCCATGAAGGGGTAGCCTCTAGGATGAGATGGTGGTGGGACACCCTGCAAACCCAATATGATATCCGCCATGCTTCTCACCACCTCTGTGTCTTCACTGTAACTCTCATAACAACGTCCCCATCTTGGATCACGACATACCTAATATAAACAAAATTTTCAAAAGTACACGGAGAAATAACAGAATCAGGGTACAATAAGGCTATGTTATTCTCTTCATAAGCTCAAAAAATAGAAGAAATAATAAGAACAAAATGAAAAATATTTCCAAATTCTAAATGACGCAAACATATGCAAAGCTCAAAGCCTCAAATATTAATGCATTATACGTATATTAACATGGATTTTTGGTAAATTCCGTCCTAGCAGTGTCTAAATTTGGAGTTTTAAGGTCTTAGTCTCGTTGGCTATATTCTTTTATGGAAAATATCATTTAACGGTTCAAAAACCTCTCACAAAATCATCATAAAAAATCCCAATTAACAAACTTTGACTTATTTTTTAATATTCATTTTACCCAAGTACCTCGACTAATCTCTTAAAAAATGCCCAAATTTTTTATTGGTAAAACTAAACAAGCAGGCGCATATCAATAATTTGACACACCTTGAACAAGCAGGAGTACCATCATTTTTTTGGAGCCCTTAGGTGAGTCAAATTATTAAAATGACTTTTATTGATCAGGGCAATCTCGAACTTGGGCAATTTAGGCATTTTTTAGGATATTTTCTTAGAAAATACCTAAGTGAAAATCAAAGGTAAAAAGCTCTAAATTTAATTGAGATGTTTTAAGTACCTTAATAATTCTGTAGAGGTTGCAACTCGTTAAAGATGTTTTCCTCATTCGTTTTTGGAACAATTCATCAATGGGAATCGAACTTGAGATATATATAAAACCCAATGTCCTACTTATGATAAGAATAGTAATGAACATAATCAGTTTGCAGAATGAAAAATGATGCTATTAAAAATGATGCTACTAATTTCTCTTACTGCGAGGCAAGGAGCGAATGTATATGGTATCCCTGTTGCTCTAACTTCTAGAGCCGTTGCTTTACCTATCCTCCTAACCAGGTCCCTGTCACTGCATGAAAAGAAAACAAAAAATCATGCAACCATGGACACTGGTTATAGTGAAAAATGCCATGATCCCAATGTTTCAAAAAGCGCTAGGCGGCCATAGGGGTCCAAGCCACCCAGCGCCTAGGCTGGGGCCCAGAACCCGGGTCACCCAGTTAAAAAAAAAGAAAAGAAAGATAGTCTGATAATGATTAATCTATAAGAATTTTGATAATCCATAAGACGATAATCCCAATTGAAAAAAAAAGGAAAGAAGTCGAGAAGAGAATTTTGATAATCCACAAGAGACCATAATCCCTATTTTAATTATATCTACTACACCGTACTCTGTACACACAAAAGTTAGATAGTAAAACAATAGAACTATAAACTAGAAAGTAGAAACCAAAAATAGGAAAAAGAAAATATACAAAAATTCAAAAAATATCCACTCTAGGACATAATAGTCAACACTCAACAATTAACACTCAACACAACAACTCAACACCTAGAGTCTTCAATCGTCATCATCATCATCATCAGAAAGAATAGGATAAGCCTCATTATATGCATCAGATTCGAGGCCATCATCATCAGAGTCATCTCCCTATTCAATATAACGCTCGTTCTCCTCTGTTTCTTTTGAATTTGCATCCTCCTCCTCCTCTTCTTCTACCTCCCTCTTATTAGTATGTGCAGATGAGTCCCTAAGAGTCTTGGTTGCTCTACCCTTTTCTATCTTTTTGTGCTTCTTGAACTCAAATATTGTATAATCTCCTCCCTGGTAGCCTCAGGAACATTTTTACATAGAGTAACAACCCCCTTAATACTGACAAGGTGTTTTTTAACCCAGTAAATACCCCGTTAATATTCTTTCCACAATAATTACATTTGATATGATTTTTGTTATTTGGATTCGGGTTATAACCATACTTTCAACCCAGATCACTACATCTAGAAGAACCTGGAGAAGATATTTCCATAAAACAAGACTCATTTTCATCTTTTCTGGTTCTTTTAAATTAAGAAATTATCTAATCTCATCCCGAATAGCTTCAAGAACTTTTTTACAAGAAGCAACATTCCCTTTAATACCAGCATGGTGTTTCTTGAATCGGTTATTACCCCTATTGGTATCGTTTTCACAAAAATTACACCTTATACAATTTTTATTGTTTGGTTTTGGGTTATAACCATACTTCCAACCTGGATCACTTCTTCTAGCAGAAGCAGAAATAGATCTATTCAATGACAATGATTTTGTTCCTGTTTTTGTTTTACAGAACTCATATATTGCTTAATCTCCTCTTTGATAGCTTCAGGAAATTTTTGCAATGGGCAAAATCTCCCTTAATACCGGCAAAATGTTTCTTAAACCGGTTTATGCCCTTTTTTGTATCGATTTCACAATAATTGCATCTTTTTGTTATTTCGATTCGAGTTATATCCATATTTCTAACCTAGATCTCCACTTCGACTAGATCCTGAAGAAGACATCTCAAAATAAAGCAAGCAATCTAAAAAATAAAGGTTTGCACTTACTTTGATTGCTCGAACTCCTAGCTCCTACCTCTGAGATATTTTCAAGTGCTAAAATAATTAAAAACATTTTGTAATATGATTATAAAACTCCAAAACTAAATCTAATATACCTGAGTGATGTTTGGATCTGTTTTTTGTAAATAAACAATTCGATCCAATGAAAATCACAAAATTTAGTCTTTTTTAGGTTTTTTTCCCTCTAAAATGGGTTCTTATGGGTTTAGGATTCAAATGAACCTATAACTCATCCTGCTTTTATGTTTCAAAAAATCAATAGAAAAAATAATAATAATCAATAAGGGGTTGGGGGCTGGGGCTGGGAACCCACCTAGGCGAGTTTCGTGCTGCCTAGGCGGCCGCCTAGTTTGGCGCCCTGGACGATGCGCTCAAGCCTTCTGGACTGCCTAGGCTGCCGCTTAGGTGCTCGGCGATCTACCTTTTTGAACCATGCATGATCCATATGACCATGGGAAAGCTATGGTTATAAGTGTCTACCGTGGTCCAAACAATGAAAGGACAATAATGAAGATTGAAGCTTCACCAAAAGATCACACCAAGTGGGAGTTGTGATCCCTCTCCATTGTTGTTCATCCATCAATAATTGGACAATGATAATGCTTATGATCATGAATTTTCTATAGTCCCGTGGATTGAGTACACTTTTTGCCTTTTCTTTTATGGGCCATTGATTCTAGGGAGAAATGATTCCATGCATTAAGCACATATGACTTTCCATTAATGTTGGCGTATCTCGACCATTCATCCTCTTTTACAGTCCAATCACTTAATGTGGCTTTGTTAGTCATTATTGAAGTGTGGCCCCATATCATATATTGCTTGATTGGACCAGGACAGTAACGGATGGTCTAGATGTGCCACTTACATTGAAAGCCATTCACTTTCACATGAAATTGTTCCCCCTTTAAGAGAAAAGGAAGAACAATATTGAGATGAATGTAAATGGGATTGAAGCCAAAACACTTTGAATTTTCACAGCCCAAAGTTTTTTGCGACATAATGTGAAGAGTATGAATAAATGCCAAAATTGCATTTCTGAATTTTCTTCTTCATTCTAATTTTCCTCTTCATTCTAAGTTTCCTTACAGTTCTCTCCTTTTAATTTTATGGGATTGTATATTGTGATACCATTGATTTTTTATAAAAAGAGGTCACAATCACTTTTAGATATTGGATGTGAAATCCGATAAATGAAAGTGTGTTACAACATTCGAGAAATTTTATATTAAACTGTGCACAAACAATGACACATCCTCAACTACCCGACATTTCAAATTTAGCAGTCAATTATGATTATGACCTCGTTGTATCAAAAGTAATTAGCATCATTGTATATATTTCCTACTTTTATTCGTTGAAATTGTCTTGTCCACAAACTTGTCAAGAACAAGACTTGTCACTAATGTGCAATAAGTAAAGGACCCAATTTCTATGCAGCCAAGCCCACATATGTAGAAATGCGGGCCTCTTAATAAATCTATTTTTGAGGTGGATTTTAATACATAATTTTTAAGGACATGTAATCTCTAATATGGAGATCATAAATATGAAAAAATAAATAAATTCTAAAAATTAGAAATAATGATTCTAGTAAGAAATCATTTGGACGGTTAGTTTTCATGAACTACCAAAAAAATAATAATAATTAAAAGAACCTTTAACTTACCTTGTGGCACCGAGGCCGATATTATGGGGAAAGATAGTGGCACCATAGACATTGTTATGGCCATGAACTGCATCTATACCGTAGATTATCGGGATGCCGAGCCTCGTGGCCAGCGCCGCATTTTGTAGGCCATCGATCATGTCTGCCCACATTGCAGGGGATGCTTTTGGGGCAGGTATGCTACCACCCCCACTCAAAACGCTCCCTGCAAAATAGAACTATGTTCTTTAGATGTGAAAACTGGGAACATGCATTGCACTTGTTGGCTACATATAATATGGGATTTGCACACCAGCTGTCCACCGTAAGATCTCATCAGTGAATGGTGGAGATGGGCTACAAACTATATCTTTTATTTATAGACTTAGACCCGACCCAATGTGGCAGGTTAAGTCCTAATCCAATTTATGAACCTGATCCAGACCGTCTGGGTCTACCTTAGACCTACTCCTATCTGGTCTAGGTTGCGTTTGACCGGACCCTACCCAACCCGACCGATTCCCACCCATAGATAAGATGTTAAATAGCTCTTACTTTGATATATTTCCCTTTATTTTTTTTCAAAACAATATTAGGAAAAATACAATAGGGAACATATGAATAAGAATGGTCCAAAAAGTACCATCAAATAGGACAATTATTTGGTCTGGGAAAAGTTTATATAGAACCGATGCCCTAAATTATCAAATTAGAGCCCACCTCAAAAATGTCTCTAGAAGGGTTTGTTTTGATGCCC